TGAGGTTGGCCCAGGATCGGACATTGTTTCGTTCTGCTGTGCATGGGGTCTCTATGAGTCGGTTCCGACTCGATGGCACCTGACAACGACAACAAGTTACTACTGAGGTTGAATATTTTCTAAATGTTTATAAGAATTTGTACTTCATTTTCGAACATACCTTTTTATGCCTTTTAAACATTTCCTTGTCAGGATAGTTTTTCGATTGGTTTTCTAGAAGAACCATAAAAGGTACACTATAGCAATGTTTTTGGAGTCCTGGTATGGTGCTGTGGGTTAATACGCCAACCTGCAAAGCTCTTTGAACTGCAAGGTTGGCCATTCTAGCTCACCAGCTACTCCTCAGAAACGCTATGGGCCAGAGTCGACTGGACAGCAGATAACAACAACAACAAATAGCAGTGTTTATGAGGATCCTTTTTAAAAAAAATGTACAGTGAATTTACCATTATCTAGAATATTTATGGAGCCCTGGCATGGCACTGTGGGTTAATGCGCCAGACTGCAAAGCCGTTGTTTGAACTGCAAGGTTGGTGGTTCAAGCTCACCAACTGCTCATTGGAAACCCTATACAGGGTTGCTATGGGTCAGAACTGACTCGACAGCACCCAACAACAATAACAACAAGAATATTTATGGAGTCCTGGTTTGGCAATGTAGAATAAAAACTGAACTTTTAACCCTATACAGCGTCTCTATGAGTCAGAACTGACTCGATATCACTTACAACAACAAAAATATTTATGGGAGCCTGTAGCTCTGTAGGATAAGCACTGGACTGCTAACCACAAGGTTAGCGGTTCAAGCCCACCAACTGTTCTGAGGTGGAACCAAGAGATCACTCTAAGTTGGAACCAACTTGATGGCATTTAATGACAACAACAAAAATATTTATATATGTAAATGAAATTTTTTTTATAATAAAAAATTTTAAATTAACATTAATAACAGTAGAACTGTTTTTAGGTTTAATAACTAGTTATATCCCTTATTTTCATAGCTTTCTACGAGTCTTTAAAACTATCCCTTAAATATTTGCAAGTAGGTTAAGTTCAAGAAACCATCTGTCCCCAAACCAGAATAGGGGTGACTGGAAACACTTTCACTATAATCTTTTGGAGATAATTTTTTTTAAAACAATGAAAGCATAATAACTAATAGTCATTTAGCTAAAGCTATAAGATTGTTCAACCATCATATACTCTACTTTTTAGAACCTTTCCGTCACATGAAAACATTTCTTCTGACCTGTTTGAGGCAAATTTATTTTCTTACTACACCACAGGGAACTATTGTGTACTTTCTGTCATTATAGAACTGACCTTTTTGGAGATTTTGTATAAATGGAATCATATGTGGCCTTTTGTGTCTGGCTTCTTTCACTTTGCATAATGCTTCCAGTTTTATCCATGTCATCATATGTATCAGCACTTAATTCCTTTTGTGTGTGTGTGTACCTTTCTAGTTCTACAAAAATTTTGATAGGGGTTGGCCCAGGACCGGGCAGTGTTTCGTTCTGTTGTACATAGGGTTGCTAGGAGTCGATACCGACTCAATGGCACCTAACAACAACAACAAGGAGCCCTAGTGTGCTATGGGTTAATGCGCCAGACTGCAAAGCTGTTTGAACTGCAAGGACGGTGGTTCAAGCTCACCAGCCGCTTCTAGGAAACCCTATATAGGGTTGCTGTGGGTCATAACCAACTCGATGGCACTTAACAACAACGACAATGAGGAGCCCTGGTAGCATAATGGCTTACACATTGGGCTGCTAACCGCAAGGTCAGCAGCTTGAAATCTACCAGTCACTCTGCAGGAGGAAGAGGTAGCTTTCTGCTCCCTTCAAGATTTACAGCTTCAGAAACCATACAGAGTTGCTGAGTCACCGGTGACTCAACGGTACACAACTACCTCCACACTGAATCTGTGAGAATTGCCATCGGAACAATGATGAGTCTTCCAGTCCATGAGCATGAAATGTTATTCCTTTATTTAGATCTTTGGTTTCGCTTAATCATGTTTTTGCTGTTTTCAGTGCACAAGTCTTAAACGTAATTTGTTAAGTGTATTTGTAACTTTTAATTCTTTTTGGTACTTTTGTGATAGAATGTTTTTTAAATTTCATTTTCATATTGTTCAGTGCAATTGTTTGTAAATGGCAAAATGTGTATGGCTTGATTTTTCCACGCTTTGACTATTACTAGTTTTTTACTTCTAGTGTCAATATACAATGTATTAGACCTGTAGGAAACCAATCACTGACATGTAACATAAGACAAAAACTCAGGGCATAAAGTGCCTATGTGTAATTTTTGCTCTTAAACAATGAAGGTCTTAAGAAATTTAAAGATGTTAACACAGAAATAGGCCTGGGAATTCAATTCAAAGACATGACAAAATGATTATAGGAAAGCTCAATTAATAATGCTGACTTATATTTCTCAGCATTTTATTGATTTTTGTTATTTTTATAAATGTACTCCTTTGCATTTAATATGTATCAATCAGCAAATTAGTAGATTGTGCTTAGGTTGACACTTCTGGCCTCAAGTTAATGGTTTGTTGTAGTGCTCATTTGTGCTTCTACCACATTAAAAATTGTTATTTAAGGGAAAAATTACACCCTGCAGTTATTAGAACAAAAAGGAGATTTATTTTTCCAGACTTGACATATACTGGAAGTCATTATTTAAATCTCTTGTTCTTAACAGAATGCAGAATGTATATTTATTGTAAGGCAGGATAAGGGATTATACTTGGAATATTGAATACATTGGGGCTTTTCCAGTTGTCTGAAGAAAATGATAATATATTGCTATACATTTTTGGAGTCCTGGTGTGGCACTGTAGGATGAGCACTGGACTTCAAAGTTGGTTTGAACCACAAGGTTGGCAGTTAAAACTCACTAGTCATTCCTCGGAAACCCTATACAGGGTCGCTACAAGCCGAAGCTGACTCTACAGCACTTAACAACAATACATTTTCAGTTGTTGTCTTCTAATGTTTTTCTTAAATCTTGAGTAGCAGTTACTGCTTTTCCACTAGTTAGCATTAAAACAAATGGACAATAAAACAAATGATTAAGTTTCTTTTTGGATGTTAATTGAAAACTCCAATTATCATGTGTACTTCAAGAGCTTGTTTTTTATGATAAAATTTGTGGCACTTGGTAGTACTCTGTCTCTGAGAAAATTTAAGCAGTATTGAGTTAAATAAATAAATCTTTTGATTTATTTGCTCATAGGTAGCTGTATGAAACCAAACCCACTGCCATTGAATCAATCCCAACTCATAGCTACCCCATATAGGGTTTCCAAGACTGTAAATCTTTACGGGAGCAGACAGCTTCATTGTTCTCTCGCAGAGCAGCTGGTGGATTTGAACCAGCAGCCTTGCAGTTATCAGCTCAACACTTAACGCACAGCATCTCCAGGGCTCCTTATAGGTAGCTAAGACCCACCATAGTCTACATCCTCAGTTCACTGACAACCCTGCATGACTCCATTAGTCTCTAATGGCTCCAAGGAAGAAGAAATGTCAAGTAGGCTGTTGTTTACCTGAAAGCTAAGGAGAGCAGATAAAGAACAGTCTTGTCCACTGTTTTCCTAGTTTACAAACAATTAGATGGTATTTTTCCTCTTTTGTATTTTTCTAAAATTTTGTTATTGTTAAATGCCATCGAGTCAGTTCTGACTCATAGTGACCCTGTGTAGGATTTCTGAGAGGTGGCTGGTGGGTTTGAACCAGCGACCTTATGGTTAGCAGTCCAGTTCCTATCCTATAACACCACACCAGGACCCTTTCTAAAACTTAAAGCTATTAAAATTGATACATTGTCATGTATTGAAGGAAGAATGTGAGTGATTGTGTCCGTGGGCGATTTTGACCACAGATTAATGATTGCATGACTTCTCTCCTCTATAGGCTTGCTGCAAAGGAAGGTAGAAGAAATAACACAGGTTTTCCAGGATTATCATCGCAGTGAAAACTATTACAATATGAGGACTGCCTTTGATTGAATGACCATATCTTCAGCATGTTATTTTGGGATTATCCCTTACCTATAAATTCTGAGGAGTTTAGAATAGTATATAGACATATTTTTCCCATTCAAATTTTGTGTTGAGTATTTTGACTTTTAGCGCCAGAAATCTAAGCTACATTAGGCCCTCTATCTGGGAAGCAAACTATTAGGTGTTGATTCCATGTGTGTAATCTCACTCTCCAACTATCACCAACACGCATGATCTTTCTCATTCTAACTAAATCATAGAGAAATATTTACCTAAAAGTTAATGCCAACTAATCTTTACTAGGTACCTGTTACATGCAATATATAGTGCTAGATATGATCAATTCTGTCTCCTTAAGTGAATTTACTGACTAGTTTGGGATATAATTAATGTCAGTATATATAAAAAGAATATAAGCATAGAAGAAAGTGTGTTATGAGTTAAAGATATTGTGTTGTGGAAAGTTAGTGAAGGGAACAGTGTTATGGTAGTTTAGGGATTTGAATTAGTTGTAAAAGAGTTCGGTTTTGATCAGGGACACAATAGAGTGATTCTGATCAAAAGAAAGAAAAGTGTGGGACAGAATTTCAAATTCTTGTAGAAACCAGACTTCCTGGATCCATTGAGACTGGGGGGATCCCTGAATCTATTGCCCTGAGCCAAAGTGATCCTAAAGTCATCTTTAAACTTAACAACTGTTTAACTCAACTAGTGGAGAATATTTACATTAAGCATTGCACTCTCTTATATAAGAGCTCAAATCAACAACAATAACTTTAAAATACAGAAGGTAAGTTTAGGGGATAGAGTCTAAGTTAATGATAGTGAAATGATATGAATAAAGATAGAGGAGGATGTAACCAATCTCATTGAGCTGTACATGTAGAAAATTTTGAATGGATGTATGTTTTGTTCTGTATATGTTCAAAAAAAAAATTAAAGGGTACGGGTTCAGAAAATTTCATTCTTTTTGGTCTACTGATACCCTGATGTTTTACTTGGTTTTAGCAAATGGTTTGTAGTTGTTGGTTTTTGTGTATATGTTTGTTTTTAAAGAAAAAATCTTGTTCTTAGCTTTGGATCAGTCTGATCTGTTATGTTTTATGTTTTATTAGATATTAAATAAAGATGATTTTCTAAAAAACAAAAGTTGTAACCAAAATAAACTAACTAAAGGCTTTCAAGTGACTAAAGCTTAGTTGCCTTTAATTCCTGAGCTACATACAGTTCTGTTGTACTGACTGCATTTACCATCCTAAGGAATGCACATTACAGCAAGAAAATATTTTGAAACGAGTATTAGTGAGTTTCATAACCTTAGGAGAAAATAGAAAGTCAAAATGACCCTTCTTTTTCCTAATGCAAACTTTTCCAAGAAGTACCTTATCAGGTAAGTTTTTGTCACCACTCAAAACGATACAATATGAACATCATCCATTGAAAACTTACTACTGTGAATGATTTCTCTTGATCTTGAGTCATCTCTAATTTTATGTTCTCCACATTATTTTTAGAAATTCAACTCTATTAAAATAGGCTGTAAGGAGCTCTGGTAACATAGTGGTTACAGGTCAGACTGTTAACTTCAAGGTCAGCAGTTCGAAACTACCAGCAGTTCCACAGGAGAAAGATGAGGCTTTCTGCTCCCTTAAAAGATTTACAGCCTCAGAAACCCGGTGCAGAGTCGCTATGAGTCGGAACTGACTCCACAGTGCACCACCACCACCAAAGTAGCTTGTGCATAGGGTAAGTTTCACATTCAGTAAAGAGAATATAGTGTATTGGAGAGGACTGGCAGGAAAATGACTGTTTCTAGGCATATCCCTGCCTCATTAAATGGGCAAATAAGTTCAGCTTGGGAGTTATCTTTGGTTCTACAATATTAGAGTCAGAACACATGGTTTTTCCCAACTGATCTATGAGAAGAAATGTTTTCACTTCACTGAAGTTTTGAGATTCTTTATGTCTTTTCACTACTAGTATAGCCTCTAAGTGAAATAAAGGAAGAGGAGGCTATGGTACTGCATTTCGTTTCATCAGCCCTGCCTAGACAGATTGGATACTACTCCGTGGAGATTCTACCTTCCTCCATGCCCTCTGGATCTAGGTTCCCTCTCAAAAGCTTGTAAACCAGTCACTTCTTGCCTTTGTAGCCCCCTCCCCACCCCCCATTTTGGATAGCCAGTGTCCAAGTTGCCCATCCCTGTCTATTCTGTGTGTGGAGGGGTGGGAATGATTCTTGCTGTAAGGATTTGTTTCCTCTTTTGAGCTACTGCATCCAAAGGTGTAGGTCAAGTTGTGTCAGATTACTCTTTTTTTTTCCTCTTCTTTCTTCTTTTCATCTAGTCAACTTTGACTCATGGTAACCCCATGTGTGTCAGAGTAAAACTGCACTTCACAGAGGTTTCAGTGGCTGATTTCTTCTGAGGTGCTTCTGGGTGAATTAAAACTTCCCACCGTAGTGGTTACGAATCGGGTTGTGAACCACAAGGTCAGCAGTTCAAAACTGCCAGCTGTTCTGCACGAGAAAGATGAGGCTTTCTGCTCCCATAAAGATTTACAGCCTCGGAAACCCTGTACAGGGTCGCTATGAGTCGGAACCGACTCCACGGCACATAACAACAACCTTTTAGTTAACAGTTAAGCATATTAATGATTTGCTCCACCCAGGGTCTCCCAAACCTTCCTCTACTATATTGTCATTATCTTGGAACTGAGATTTAAATACAATCATGTGACACACAAACCCATGTTCTTTTTTGTTTTTAATTTCTTGTTTTGGTTCTTTGTGATATAAAAAAGATTCCCTTTAATTAAATATGTATTGGCAAGGTACTATAGTCATGTGGTTTGAAATTTCAAGGGTACAAAAAGATGCAGCATGAAGACATCTTTCTCCCACCCCTATCTCTTAGCCATTGGTTCCCTCTTTCATGGAGACAATCCCTTACCACCCCTTTTTATTCTTTCCCAGGGATATTTTATGCAAATACATATATATCATTTTTCTACACAAATAGTAGCATACTCTAATATCATTCTGCACCATGCTATTGCACTGAATATATTTTGAAGATTATTCAATAGCAGTCTGTAGAGAATTTAGCCAACTTTGTAACTACTACATAGTTTTTTGTTGAGTGGCTGGGCCATACTGGTGGACATTTTCCTTGTTTCCAATACAATATTGCAGTGAATATGTAACATATACTATGTATGCACATATATATGGGGAGTTCAGTGGCTTTGTAGAATAAGCAATGGACTGCGAACCACAAGGTCACGGGTTCAAGCCCACCAAAAACTGAGGTTTTCTGCTCCCACTAAAATTTACCACCTTAGAATCCCTATACAAGGGTCATGGCTATGTGTTGAAACCAACTAGACAGCACTTAACAACAACAGCAACATGTATATATGCATGTATGTTGTTTGTTGGTCTTCAGTACTGTGAAGTCTGTTCTGATTCATAGTGACCCTATACAGGGTTTCCAAGGAGCAGCTGGTGAGCTTGAACCACTGGCATTGTGGTTCAAATCGACCTCGTAGTCCAGTGCTTTATCCCACAGCGTCACACAAGGATTCCATATATATACATATGGACTTCTAGTGTGGGGCTGTGGATCAGCACTGGGCTGCGAACCACAAGGCTGGCAGTTCAAACCCACCAGCTGCTCCTTGGAAACCCTGTACAGGGTCACTATGAGTCAAAACTGACTTGACAGCACTTAACAACATTTATATATAGAGACAGAGAGACAGAGAGAAAGAGAGAGAGTGTCCTGGTGTGGCACTGTGGGATAAAGGCCTGGACTGAAAGGTCAGTTTGAAACACAAGGTCAGCGGTTCAAATTCACTAGGCACTCCTTGGGAACCCTATACAGGGTCACTATGAGTTGGAACTGACTTGATGACACTTAATAACA